GTTCGTCATTAACGTTTCATTATGCTCCATAACTAGATCATAGTTATTATCCAATCGAAGTGTTGCATCTCTGTCATTAGTAGTTAATGCATCCTTGTTTTTTACAACAGGATCATTGTTATTATCCGACAATCCAATTGGAATTTCTTTGTTACCGCCCATACTAAATGCATTTTTTACTGCAGGATCGTCGTCAAAATTCAGTTCGAAATTTTTTTCAATGAAGTCTCTGCCAGACTCTTCTTGACTTTTATCCGTTAAAGTCTGATGTTTTGACTTCTTTTTCATTTTTCTTAAGTGGAAGAAAGAAGGAATTGCATTGGGTTTTACTATGCGTTTACCCAATTGTGAAATCAAATCTTCATCCTTAAAATGACTTGAACAAATTGTGCTGACGCTTCTCAAATGATGTTCTTCCATTCCACAAAACTCGAGCCATTTCGTTCTCAACTCAAGATTTTTCGGAAACCTGTAAATTGAAAATATTGTTGAAATCTAAATTAAAAATACAGAGCAAATTTATTAATAATATATTATCTTCAGAAATATAACATAACCTATTTTATTTTTCATATTACAATAATTTGTATGAGATTAAGAGAATATTTACTAATTATTAATTTTATTATACACTTACCCATGATACGAAATTCCTTTTTGACGGCGACTACCGCATAAAATGCAATAATTAACCATTTCTTAAAAACTCAATAAATATTCGATTATAAACGACTAGCGTGAATATTTTGTCTTCGGCTATGTTTATTTACACAGTTCGTTTATTCTCGACAGCCAGTTGAGGATCATGCGCAGAAAACAGCAAAGGAAAGAAAAAGGAGAACACTATATCTTCTGTCTCTCTGTTACACCTTCAAATGTTAAGCTGTATTCCCCTTCCAGTAGTATAAGTTCTATGGAAGGAGCGCACCACGCGGTGCCACCACTGCGCAGCCAACCAGGACTCGGCGCAGCATACGCTTGAGTTATGCCCGGCGTGGGTTGATGAGCGTCGGGTCCCGGAAGTAGTTGACGAAGACCTCTCCCTCCCTTCCCTCGTTAGGGAAATGTTGGAGGAAGAAGGGGTCTGGGAGGCGGTCTCCTTCTGTGAGACAGTTATGTTTTGGAAGGAAGAGGCCGAGAGGGAGAGGCGGTGCGAGGGGGGGTCTACCTGCGCCCTGGCGAGGAGAGGCGGGAGGGGTGGCCGTTCTAGGCCACGCCCTCCGCGTCCTGGCGCTGGTGGAGCGCCGAGGTAGGGTTAGAGGGGGGTGGGAGAGTTAGCGACCTCTCTCATTCCTCCTCCCCCGGTAGGTTCACGGTTTTCTTGTTTGGGAGGGGCCGTGCGGAGCCCAGCGACTTCGTAAGGGTACCATTCCCAATCGCTGGTAGGAGACGGGGACTCTAATTCCAAATCCCCGGGTGCCTGGACTCGATAGGTGTGTTTTTGGAAAACACACCCCCAGGATAGAGGAGTAAACCTCGAGAAAAAATCCGGGACCTGGCCAGTTTCGTTAGCACGTCGGTGCTCCGACACAACGGCTGGGCCCCCCAGTGCACGAGGGGGGGGGGCGTAAAGACTCATACCGTAACCTCATTTATGGGGCCGGCGCTAACGTGTTGTTAGCGCGGGTTGCGAGGGTGGTAAGACCTCTATAAAAAGACCCGGGTAAGCCGAGCTCGTAAGCCCTAAGTGGGCAGTCGGTCTAGTGAAAGGAAAACCACAATAAAAAACCCGGAGAAGTATACTCCGTAACAAATTACACGGGGTTACAGGGAGGGGGAGTGAGGGATGTTCCCTGCCCCCATCTCTTACATTTTTAGAGCGGCTCCCTCCTCCGGTGGCGAAAATCCGGGCGTTATATGCCCCCTCCCCCGTCGTTAATACCGGAGGAAAAGCGAGCCAAAACATGGTTTTCGGTCCCCTCCAAGCCCGGCCTGATTTATTGGGCATTTAACGGTCCGTGGGAGGGACCACCGGGTCAGCCTTCTTGACTGACCCGACGACCCTTTCATCAAGGGTATGATCCCCTGCGGGCGGTTAAGGCGCGTCTATAAGTCGCGGGCTGCCCGCAGAGTGGATCCCCGGGTCCTTGTACCCGGAGATGAGACGAGCGGGGGAGAGGAGGAGGGGCTTGCCTCTGCCCCGAACCCTTGCTCCTTTTCGGGGGAAGCTCCCTCCTCCGGACGGCGGAATGTTTGCGCTTGGCGTCCCCCGCCGTTAAGTCCGGAGGAGGTTGGAGCCATATAATGGTTTCGGTCCCCTCCAGGTCCGGCCCTGCCAAGGTCGAGCAATAAACGGGCCTGGGAGAGAGACCCCCCGGGTCGGCCTGCTGACCGACCCGACAATTTTGGTCCCCTGCGAACGATTAAGGCGCGACGTATGAACGCGGGCCGCCCGCAGTGTGGACCGCCGGGCCTCGGCCCGGAAAGTGAGGCGAACGAGGGAGAGGGGAGAGCACTGGCTCTTCCCACAAAAAGGGTTACGCCGGGAAACCGGCCGCCGGGGGGGATGGCTGGATGTCATGCGTTGGTAGTTCCCAGCCTCCCCCCAATACGGCTGCTGATGACTCAGCAACGGGGGTAGGGTTTAGTTGGTAGGCGTCTGGGGGGTAAGTGGTGTCACAAACCACTCCCCCAGACTGTTGTTCACAGAGGTGGTGGATCTTGCTGCTGCCGTTGCTGCTGCTGTGTGATGGCAGTGGCGGCTGTAGTAGTTTTCTCTCCAGGGGGAATTGATTGCCCCGGTTTAGGAATCGGGGTTTTCTATCCTCTTTTAGGGAGGGGAGGAAGAGTCGGCAGTGGGCTGTCGCATAGCAGCGGACTGCGTCGATACCTTCTCCTTCCCCTTCTTTCCGCTCTCTCTCTTTGAATCCTTGGCTGGGGGAGCCACCCTCTTAACGGAGGGTGGACCCTTACTGCCAAGGGGTTTGGAGGAAGCGGGGTCAGGCAAGGAGGGGGGAGTCTATCTCCCAGTAACTCCCTCATCATGCGGGGAATCATTTCCCCGACCTGCTTCATTACCTCCCGAACGACGGCGCCCACAAGGCCATCGTTCAGGAGGATGTTACTGGTGACTACCGGGGGGAGGCGGTCCTCCAGTCTTTTCGAGACCCCCTGAACCGGGGGTCTCATTGCCGGGAAGTTGTCCAGGTCTTCCCTGGTGATTTTCATCATGGGGGAGGACTCCGGAAGTGGGATCTCCGCCGACTCCCCCATGATGATTTCCTCTTCCGCATTGTCCTCCTTAGCGACCCTGGCCCTAGTCCGGGTGTTGGGAGGTGAAGGAAGAGGGGAGGTTCTCTCTCTTTCCTCCTTCTCCCTACGGAGGTCTGCAACCTCTTTTTCCAAAAGGCGGTTTGCCTCTAGGATATCCTCCGCGTGCGCATTTGCGGAGGAGGGAGTTCTTCCCGCTATGGGGTCGTAGTACCCCCTCTCCGCTCTTTCCGCCAGGGTCGCAGCGCTAGCCTCGAGGGAGGAAGCCGCGATATTGAGGAGCTTTGCTAAGTTCCCCTTGAGGCCTTTCGAGACCGCGGCGACCTCAAGGATAGCATCCGTATTTTCCCTAAGGTCGTCCAGGATCTTTTGGACCGGTGCCAATTCGTACTGTACGACCTTGCTCTTAATCCTTTCCGTGCTTGTGGTACCGCTCGATCGTACGGTCCGTCTCATAATGAGGGTTCATAACCCTCTCGGCCACCGCGCGGTGCATATCTTCTAGCCGCACCACGGCTGCCTCCCTTCTTTTTCGGGCGGTGTGCTGCCCTACTTGTATGGGATCCTTTTGCGGGGCGCCCCCCTAGGATCCTCCTTCCTAGCCTGCGCCCTGAGGATCTCTACATCCTCTTCTTTGGAGGACAAGAGGCCGTCCCTTCTTGTCCTCTTCTCCCTTTTTTTTCTCCTCTCGTCGGAGGGAAAATTAGGGAGAGTGGTGGTCTCCTCTCTGCTTTTTCTTGGCCTTTTGGCCCCTGCCGACGATGCGCCGGTTCTGGTGACGAACGAGAGCTTTGTCTCAGATCTGTCACCGTCATCGTCGGAGCAAAGGTCGATGGATGGAGCCCCTTAAAAGAGGCTCTCCTCCGACCCCGCTCGAGATATACCCTGCGGTCGCTTCGGAGACCCGGCACGGGATGGATCCCGTGAGAAAACCGGGGTACCTGCAAGGGTGCCCTTTTTTTACCTTGGATAAGATCGGTGAGAATGGGGAAGAAAGGGGGGGTGGATTCCCACCCGTTCCTTTCTCCATCATCTCGTCGTTGGAGTCAGCGCCCCCCCTCAATCTCAGTACCGAGACTTGAGATGGGACGCCTGACTCCAAAGACATCGTGGATGTCACCTCTCCCCCAACACCGAGAGCTAGTATCTCGACTGAGAAACCTAGTTTCTCGAGCGCGAGATACACCTCCCGATGACCACCATCATTTTTTATTTTTAAAAGCAACATTTTTGTTTCAATCCCACTACCCACTGCGGCTCCGTTGACCGGGCATGCCCTCTAAGTCCCAATTTCCCCCGGGAGGTCAACATGGCGCGGGCACCGGGAATTAAACATCCGGTGCACTGGCCTCCGGCCCCTTACTGATCCCTGATTTTACCCAGGTGCTTTCGGGGGTCCCACACCTCCGACAATGTGGGCACCGCAGTGGGCGCAGCTACGCGGGGGGCCCCACGGACGGTTGGGGCGGGGAATGTTGCAACCCACTCCGCGCATTACCCGCCGTGGCACCAGCAAACCCACTCCTCGACCGATCACTCCGGAACCGGTAATACCGGGACGCACTCGGGTAGTGATCGGTCTTCACTGCTCGACCCTGCCTCGGAATACTTCCAAGCGGCTCGGAATGGCCCAGCCCGACGAGCCCGGGAGTTCCGGGACATCGACGGCCCGTCACTCTCCTTCACGACCGCGTACTCGAGGACCACGTCCACGAGCCGTTTGGTCGAAGAGGGAGAGCCACCGTTGTGGGACACCGCTTCCCCCTTATGCCAAGCCGCACCCTTTCCTCTCCCAAAACCGGAAGAGGAAGAGTCGACCCCAGACACAAGGAGGACCGGCACCCACATCCCTTCCCTTTAGGCGAGGCCACCGAGGTGGCCCACCAGAGACCCGTCCCGCCGGAGCAGCAGCCCCGGCCAGGACAGGCCTCAACCATGGGGAGAGCACCCCCCTAACCAGCCGCCCCACAGGGCTAAGGATCTACAATAGATGTAGTAAGCTTTTAGCTTTCTGTTCTAAGCCGTAAAGTATGACATATTTCCGGTTTGAGATGTTGCCCGCGCTGTTTTAAGCTCTAATCTCTAAGCTTTTAGCGAGCTGGCCAGATCCCAGCTCTTAAAGCTTAAGACTCAAAGTCACAGCTAAGCAAAGTCTTGCAGGTAGAGGTTTTCTTAAACTATGCTTTTGTAACATTGGCGCAATCAAAAAGAACAGATAATCGAATTGCCTTATGTTCATTCAGATATACTCAAAAAATTGTTCTTCATCCGTGAAGTACAACTCTTTGAACATATTATTATACAGGGTGAGTCATTTTAATCTATGGATCCAAATATCTTCCAAATTACGGTATCTACAAAAAAATGATTTAGATAAAAGTTGACCAGGACAAAGAGGGTCATTTAATTGTATCATTGGTTTTGACCTTGAGGTCAATTTTGAAGGTTATTTCAAGGTCACGATGGTTTTTTTAAATGAGACACCTTATTTTTGACTGCGGATTTCGAAAGAGCGGAAAATTTTACATCAAACTTGTCTTATGAAAAAATTGTTTTTGCGACCTTGGAAAGGTCAA